TCCCAACTCTGTCAGCCATGATTAAACTTTCTATGCTAGGTAGAGACAATAGGTTTAAGATATATATACTTGTTTTAATCCAAGAAAAAGTTATTTAAAATATGCAAAATAATGATATTTCATAAAAACAAATTAGACAGTATGAAAACATTTCTGAACATAATAAAAAAACTTTTTTTTATTTATTAATTAATAATTTATTTATTTTTTTAACCTCAAAATGTGTTTTATACTGAAGCAATGGTCACATATGGCTGATTTATTTTAGATTGAAGAAGGGCCTAAATAAGAATATGTAGTATGAATATCTTCACTCTATTTCCTGAATGGAGGAATAAGTGTTGTTGCAACTGTCCCATGCTGCAACCATCCCCACTCACCCCTACTCCTGAATTCAGTCTTATCAGAAAAAAATAAAACATTCTTACAACCTGTTTAGAAAAATATTAGCCTGCCTTTTGCCCTGACATGTTCATTTTTGGTTGTGTCAGCCCTGAATTTTCCTTGTTTTTTGACCATCTTCATATAGACAAATTACCAACCTACATCCCACATGAAGTCACACGGGTTCCCAGTTGCAAAAAGAGACCGGTTGCAATAGTTAACATGTCGTGTTGTGCAGTAGGATGCCAAATTCAAAAGTCCAAAAATAGAAAACGTAACTTTTACCATACATCACACTGCTTTAATGCAGACTGCAGACGTCTTTGGCTAAAATTAAGGTCAAGTTGGTTTTATATTCACACATTCATTCAGTGACCACTTGTGACACACTCCCTATATTGTTTACCACAGCACTTTGAATATCCGGTCTGAAATAACCTGCAAGTGTGACTTGAAAACAACATTAACACTGTTTATTTGACTGTGAACAATGTTGTACTTTGATAGTCATTGGCTGCTAGTATGATTTAGCTATTTAGAGTTTGCATATAATTTTATGAAATTATACATAACTTTTATGAAATTCTATTATTAAGGAGAACGTCCGAATGTGCGAATATAATACCAACTTTACCTTTATGTGTAAGTTCACATACCCTGCTGTACAGGTGTAGTTTGCTATCAAAAAGCAGTCGTTTTGCTTGTTGATGATTAATTCAGGCCTTCTACAGTTCCGTCTTCTTTCCTTGTCTTTGGTTTGGCAGAACCTCGGTTTTTAGCACTACATAATTTTAAATCTGGTAATCATGGAACATTATTTCTTGCACATGACCACACAGAACAACATTGTAGACATCCACTTGTAGGCCTTTAACTTCTCTCTTGTTAAAACACTTGAGATTGTATATTTGGGACTGGATGCTTGGCCATTTCGTCTTATCCAATATCTGTTGGGAGGGTGCTATCGCAAATGGACCTGTCAGACGAACACTGCTTACTTTAACGGTAATCTTGCTGAATCACTGTGCTTATCACTGGGTGACAAGCTGTTATAATATGCTGAAAGCAAATAATATATATATAATATGTAATCAATATATATTATTTCTAAGACAACAACAAACTCTGTAGTGCATCAGATGTCATTTCCTCGTTGTAATTGCTAGCGCTCCAGTTTTGTTTCTGCCACTTCGCCGCACGCACATCCTAAACATTTACAAACATGGTAATTCGTCTATCTTCATTGAATTTGCTGCTGTCGATCCTTGCTAGTTTGATTTCAATAATAAAACTAAAGTTTAGCTGCAATAATACTCTCTGCTGTTTACTGTGTAACAGTAAAATTTTATGTTGCCAATATGTTTCAGACAGCTAAAGAACAGTAGATCAGGGGTTTTCAAACTTTTTAATCTCAGGGACCCCCAAATATGATGATTATTTGCAGGGGACCCCTTTGCCTAAGGTTTAAAGAAATTTACGTATTATTACGGAAAGTATAAATACGTAAACTAAAATTCTGTACAACAAAAAGACATTATAATTCATATTTCACAGGCATGCAAAATGGTATTGTTCTTAAACTATTTATTAGTTGGCAACTCACTATAGCCAGAATGATTGTCGAAATTTTATATTTCATAAAATAAAAAAAACAACAACAAAATATTTACATTAACTGAACAAGATAGCTTTTCAAAATAAGGCAACGGTAGATCAAAAGTTAAACCTAGACATTTGTAATTTCTGTAGTTTTTTCCCCTGTCTTGTATTTATGGAAAACTGCAACATATTTACATGGAACTGGGTACCTTTTGTAATTAAGGCACTGCTTAATTGCTGCTATATTTTCATTAAGTGAAAAAGGAACCTTCTTTCACAGCATTATAATGTGACAAGTTAAACCTGAAGAACAGCATTTGCATTACAAACACAATCAAACCAGTTTGAATCATTCACTGATTCAAAACTCCTAATGGGACGGATGAGCTTGATGGCTTCTACATAGTTTGTCATAACGTGGCTTCATTTTAGTGAGAGCCAGACGCATGTCACTTTCAACCTCCAGACGGGCTCTGTGCTTTGACTGAAGTACTTTTAGTGCTGAAAATCCAGCTTCACACAAATAAGTTGTGGCAAAAGGTAAAAGACATTTTATTGCCTTCTCTGACAACATAGGGTAGTCCTCTCTCACAGACATCCAAAACTCTGATAGAGGAAGAGATGGGAACCTTGTTTTTCTCCCACCATCATTTGACAAGTCAATCAGTTGCTCCTTGGCTGCCAGATCCAGATAAGTGCCAACCCCTGGTGCAAACGGGTCCCTGACAAAGTCAAGGTGGTTATTGTTCAAATCAGGGAAATACTGTTTAAAATAGCCCTGAAGATGTGACAGGTGAGACTGAATTATGGGTGTTATGTTGTCTGCAGTGGTGGAGATGCGCTCCTGGTTGTAGAGAGGAAACATTTCTGTTACTCCTTCTTCCAGTTTGCTTTCCCACAGTGACAATTTTTGCGTGAATGCACGCACCTTGTCTTGTGCGTTCAGTATGTGAACATTGTGCCCTTGCATGCTCTGATTGAGGAAACTAAGATGCTGGAAAAAATCTGCCATGCATGACAACTTCAGTATCCAAGTGTCATCTTTAAAACATTTGGCAAGTTCTAGGTTTTCATCGGAGAGAAACTCTCTCAGCTCTTTGCGTAGCGCGTACACGCGACTTAACACGGCGCCGCGGGAAAGCCAGCGCACCTCTGAGTGGAGCAGCAAACCCTCGTAATCTGCACCCATTTCTTTGCAGAGTAAACGGAAGAGTCTGTGTTTCAATGGGCGCGATTTTACATAGTTCACAGTTCTTATTACATCCTTCAACACTTGATGCAAGTCATCTTCAATGCGCTTGGCCACGAGAGCCTCACGGTGAAGCATGCAGTGTGTGCCAACGACGTTGGGAGCTTTCTCTTTGATCAGAGTCACGACGCCGCTGTGCTTCCCGGTCATAGCGGCAGCACCGTCAGTACACACTCCAATACACCGAGACCAGTCTACAGAATTGTCCGTCATGAACTGATCCATCATATTACATATGTCCTGACCTGTGGTTCTGCCTTCAAGGGGTTTACAGAAGAGAAGTTCCTCAATAAATGTGTCCTTACCGAGAAAACGCACGTAGACCATTAGCTGCGCTTGATTTGCTATATCAGTACTTTCGTCCAACTGCAGTGAAAAGTATTCACTGGCTTGCAGCTGTTCTAAAAGTTGTGACGAAATATCATCGGCCATCTCACTTATGCGTCTGCCTACTGTGTTATCTGACAAAGGCACACAATCTATCTTCCGTGCCGCTTCCTCTCCAAATAACTCTTTGACGATGTCTTTGGTAGCTGATAATAGCAATGCTTCGCCTACTGTGTGCGGCTTCTTAGCACGCGCGATGTGAAGTGATGCCAAATATGACGCTTTTAAACACCTCTCAGGGACTGATGCTTGCTGCCGAAAAAGACTGGCCTGCCGGGCCAAACACATCTCCTGATGTTTGAAATAGTCTGTCGATTTTTCTGCCTCATTGGGATGTTTTTGCTGTAGATGACGTTTGACCTTGGATGGTTTCATGCATTCATTGGAGAGAATCTCTTGACAAAGAACACACTGGGGTCTATCGACTCCCTGCTTTAAAGTACAGGTAAAACCAAACGCAATGTAAGATTTGTCATATTTTCTGCTTTTTGCCTTAGCATTCGCCAAGTCAGATTTGCATAAGTTGCTTGCAGGAGCGGGGTTCTTTAAAAATCTTTCCATCATCTGTAGCTACTGCACAGCCGCTAATTGCTCCATTCAACTGTAACGTTACGTTATGCAAAATGTTAAAGAGCGCAAAGGATTTCGGGATAAACTCATTGCAATTAATAATAAACTTATATAAATACTAAAACTAAATATAGATTATTAATTTAGTCATTAATAATTTTAGAATTGGAAATATTTTTTTTATATTATTTAAAAAAATAATATGTTTTGTTTCTGCCAAGTTTTCGCGGACCCCCTAGCGCCCTCTCGCGGCCCACTGGGGGTCCGCGGACCCCAGTTTGAAAACCCCTGCAGTAGATAGATGCAAATATAACACCATCTGTACACTTTGTAGACAAAAAGCTACCGACTTCCATGACAAACAAAGTAGATACATTAAAAACAATGTAGTTATTACAAATTAAGTCTTTTATTTCTTTGTATAATAATAAATAATGACAATTCCTTCCCATTTTGTAGATAGAGAATATTGCGCTGTAAATATTCACATTCTTTAATCATTGATATATTATTTATGAACTTTGAGAGAGAGAGAACAAAAACTATAGATGCATGATGTGACATTTTACACCTTCTGAAGCACACAGAGATGTTGCATGATAGAAAATACAAAGTTGTGCTTATGACGAAATGATGCAAATAAAGGCATACCAGTTTTTAAAAAAGTTAGCAATACATTTGTTTTATTTAAAACATTCGAATGCATTTTTATATGAACACCAAGTAATACCAAAACCTTTTAAAGCAGTATTACAAATATTCTCATGAATAATCTCAGCTCTTTACACATTAGCCACAATTATGTAATACATTATTGTGCACTTTTGAGAGGATGAACAGAGAGTCTCTGCGGTAACAAAAAATACACCCTGCTTCGAATCTCCTTGGTTTTCAGTGAGTAGAGGATAGGATTCACACAAGGTGTGAGGAGAGATGTCATAGATAAACACACTGATCTTACGTTAGAGTTTATAATATACCCAAATAACCCAAGACTGAAGATAATCACAATGGGAAAAAAGAATAGGGCCACTAATATGAGGTGCTCAGTGCATGTGGCCAGTGCTTTAAAGCGGCTCTGGTTATTCTTCATTCTGAAAACAGCATACAGTATACCCGCGTATGTGAGGAAAATAAAAGCAAATGGTATAATAACAAAAAGTATATTTGAGGCAGTGCCAAAGTTAAACTGAGATGCCGTGTCGCTGCAGGCAACTCTTAAAACAGGAGCGTAATCACAAAAATAGCTGTTGACCTGGAGAGAGCCACAGAATGAGAGAGCTGGGATGGATAAAGTGCCGTATAGTGATATACTAAAAGAAAGGAACCAGCTTACACAGATAATATAAGTCATTCTGGTGTTTGTGTTTATGGATTCGTGTCTTAAAGGAAAACAGATGGCAATGAACCGGTCATAAGAGAGAATACACAGGGAAAGTGCCTCTACTTTTAAAAACGTATAGTAAGTGTACATTTGCACAAGACACAGCTTGAACGGCATAAAATTGTCAAGAACGATGTAAATCTTAATCATGCCAGGCACCAGAGAAGTGCTGAGAATAAGATCAACCACAGCCAGATTACCAACAGCCATGAACTTTGGCACATGCAGACGCTGATCATAGACAATAATGGAGATCAGAAAGACATTGCATATGACTGTGATCACATACAGCACGGTGAGGAACATGACATAGACATTACTGTAAGGCACTGAACTCAATGCGACAATGTAAAATCCTGCAGGCTGTATGATGGAGCTGTTTTGACCAGAACTGATGGCGTTTTGCATTGCTTTCCTCTTTATACAATCTTCTTTGCAGTGTGTGTTGCTTTCACTGCTAGAGAATCCTGCGAGAAACATTCACAAACACCCAACGCTGTACAAATCTATTCATTTATCACACAGGCCTTTATCACAGGATGCAACAAGAAAAATAACAATGAAAGATACACTTAATATGTTCCAATGATTGCTGTGGTCATACACTGAATGAAAACAGACCATACTGCTGTCTTCTCTGCAGTTTTCACCTCTGCTTCACAGTCTGGGGTCGCTGTGAATCCTGAGTGTTAAACAGAGAATCTATGGGCAATATGTTGTCCACTTTGTCCTCCAGAGAAGTCATTAGAAAAGAAGCAACAATAACAACTGTAACTCTTCAGAGAACACATTCATTAGCATGTTTAGCTACACTAATGTTAGATATGATGATCACTAATTATGTGTTTTGGTTCATTTCTTTTGGTTAATTTTGTAACAGTAAGCACAACAACAATAAAATCTCAAGGTCACATTACAGAGGTAAAATCAAATATATGAAAAAAGCTAAACAATCTAAAATGAACTCATCCTTTTGATTTATTTTGTAAGAAGCTAAATTATCATTTGCATTTGTTTATTTCAAGAGTTCACACTTAGATACTGTTTGACAACTTGTTAGCAAGTTAGCAGGTTTGGCATGCTGTCCCGGGAGAGAACACTGAGCTCGGAGATAGCTGAGCCCAGGGCTCCCGCCAGGTCTATAAAGCATGTGAGGGGAGTACGAGGTCAGGTGTTCTCGAGAGCTCCCCTCGGCAAAAGAGGAAAGGAGGAGAAGGGGTGGATGGGGGGTTTCTTCGAAAAACGAAGATATGGGTGTAGATCTTAGCTAGGTTATTTATAGTGAGTTTGGATCGATCCGATTAGCTAGCTAATGAGCGTAGATGAGTGGCCAGCTGCAGTCAATCATATCACGTGCTCCTCTCGAAATTAGTTTGTGAAACTTCATATAGAAAAACATGTCTTTTTGATTCAAGAAGGTCCATACTGACTCCAAAGGCAGATACTGATAAGATCAGGGCCTGGTATTTGGACTTTGGGGGTTTTATGATGTGGTCACATGTTGATTGGTCAGTTTGAATGTCCCAGCATTTGGGCTTTAGTCACATGGTCAAGAAAGAGACAAAATAGGTGGTAATCTTGGGCTCTGGCTCTTTTCCTGGCCTGTCTTTTCCTGCTCTGCTCCTCTCCTCCTCTGGAGTCTATCTTCTCTGACTCTACTGCAATCAGGCTAACTTCTGGGCCTGCTCTCTTTGTCTCTCTCTCCCTCCCTTTGTGTCTCTCCTTCTACCTCTGGTAACTTTAATTTTACATTTAAGCTGGGTACAATTTTCACCATATGTTTTCATCATTCCATATTTTGTCATTTTATACAGTTATTTTGTAATTAATTCAGTTGTAACCATAGAGAATTATTGTCATTAAATCATTTCATTTTCAAGGGAATTACTTTCGATTTAACATCAACATTTAATTGTTCCATATTGCAATACAATACAATCACATAATATTGATGCTCTCCCACATTTATAGCTATTAATACTGCCCTTATTTCCGTTTTTGATATGAGATTGCAGAAGAATGGTTTGACTAGAAATGTACAGTTTTTTACCATCATGCTGATCACTTTTAGTCACTCGGCAGAACTACAGTTCGCTGTGGTTTAAAAACTATTCTTACAATTTTATGTAATCAACAGAATAAATAAAAGATCACCGGCTCTTTACTCTATGCAGATTTATTTACATATATAGCAACAAATGTTAACCAAAGTGCTTTACAAATCAAACAACACACAGAAGCTACAGTAAACCATGTAAAATTAATTACAATCAAATGCAAAAGGCAAAAGATGATTTTTTAAAATGAGATTTGAAGATTTGGAGGAGCAGGATCGGATATAAAACGATCAACTATTCCACAGATGAGGGGCTGCCACAGAAAAAAGCTTATGCAGTCTCAATTTGATTTTATTCAAGACTTGGGAAAAACCAGCTGAAATGTTTGTGCCGACGGAAGGCTTCTGGACAAAGAATGCAGGCTAAGAAGCTCACTAACTGGTTAACCAGACCACCTTTAAAAACAAATAACAACAATTTATGCTGAATGCTAGATTTGACTGGGAGCCAGTTAAGGAGAAGCACTTTAGCAACGAGACCAGCAGCGTGTAAGTACATTTAGACTTGTTTTCAGTTGTTTGTGTATGGTTCGAGGACACTTAGACTTGTTTTCAGTTGTTTGTGTGTGGTACTAGAAAGTTTACTCACTGTTTCCTTGGTTACTGTAAGAGCTTGTGTATGGATCGCCGACGGTTTTGCGCCCCCCGCCTCAGTTTCTGGTGTTTTTACTCTCGAGTCGTGTCCAAGCGCCAGGTAAAGTGTATATATTCAGCGCATAGGTTTAGTTAGTAGGAGAAGCACTTTAGCAACAAGACCAACAGCGTGTAAGAACATTTAGACTTGTTTTCAGTTGTTTGTGTATGGTTCGAGGACACTTGTTTTTAGCTGTCTGTGTGTTGTTCTAGGACACTTAGACTTGTTTTCAGTTGTTTGTGTGTGGTACTACAAAGTTTATTCACTGTTTCCTTGGTTACTGTAAGAGCTTGTATGTGGATCGTGGACGCCCCACTTGTGTGTTTCACCACACTTTTCATATGAAATGTCCAAACATTTTAGTTATTAAAATTAGATATTTTACTATACAAATTATATCCGGACTGTATGAATGATCTCTGTTCTGATGAGCCCAAGGCTGCTCTCATCTCATGAGGTTAGGTGATAATGAGTGGAGACACAACATAAACACAACAATGATCATCTCAGAGTGAGCTAATTAATCTCCCCAAACCCAGAGATGTCATAACACTCTCAGGAGTTACGTGAAAAAGAGGAAGTAGAAAAAGAGCATCAGAGTCCTCAGTCAGACTTTTGAAGTCTGAATTATAAGAGGTCAATTGAGGTCAACCTAAATGTTTAGTTTATTTGTTCATTACTGATCATTTTCATACATATTCAATGAGCTAATCTCATCATGATTATTGAGGGTGGGAGAGAGGTCGTGATGTAAGGTGAGATCAAAGTCAGAATAAAAACTGCATCATTTTCCATCACTATGATTTGTTTTAAGCTCAGCAAACAGAAACAGATTTTAGTATCAAATATCCTGCCACAAGGTAGTTGTTCCAGGTTTATATCAAACAAAAATTAATATTCTATCACTATTTACTTGCTTTCAAATTGTTCCAGTTTAAATTGATATTGCTTTTCTTTTTAAAAACAAAAGGATTTCCATCTAATTTCATTATTTCGATTTTGTCAAGCATTCAAATTTCATATCAGCAACACAAAAGTAGTCAATATGTCTTATTTGTGACTTTCTAACTGTTTTGAAATTCTACAATAGCTTTACACAATAATATGAATTCATAATTGTGTGAAGAGTCCAGAGATAGCAAAAGCATACAAATCTTTTACTTAAGTAGAAGTAAGATACTCATGTTTAAAACGACTTTGGCTAAAGTACTCACTACACTTTTGTACTCAAGCAAAAGTAACGAAGTACGGCCTCAAAAATGTACTTAAGTAAAAAGTACCCAATACTACTATACGTTTTACTTTTACCAGGTAGGTAAATATCCGGTTTCCCCCATGTATCATTATCCTGATGCAAACTCAACGTTCATTGTGTAGTTTTGCGGCTGTTGGATCAAAACAACAGCTGCCATTCATTTAATATTGCCACTCCAAAAATAATTCAGTAGGCCTGTATATCTTTACAAATGATGTCTTACATGTTACATTGAATTCTGTCCAAAATACAATGAATTTTTTGTTTGAATATCTTTTATTGAACATTTTTATTTGCAAACTTTATTTTTTTTGCTTTAGCAGCTCTCATACATAACTCATCATTTTAGTGCTTTTTTTCCAAGCATAGAAGATTGCGACACAGTTTGTGGATGTTCGTTGAAATGGCGGATTTGGGAAACGCCAAATCAATCATCTATGTTTGTAACAACGCAACTTGCGACCTTAGTTGGCTAACAATAGTTTTCAGAAACACACCCCTGTGCAGCACACAAAGATCTGATCTCACCATCATCCTGAATGAGGTGTGAAATTAACATCGAGCCTGAAATACATATACACTGAAAAAAATTAGGGATTATTCCTTGGATTTACTAAATTTTTTACATTAAGTGGTTGTAAACAATTTATTTGGGCTGAATTTAAACAAACAAATTAAGTTGAACATTATTAAACTTAGTTTGTTTGTTTAAATTTAACACAAATTAATTGTTTGCAAAAGTTCTGCATGCAACACTTTTTCAGTGTATATTTTAAATACAAATATTTTTCTTTCTATTACAAAACTATATTAAAAGACTTGCACTTTTGGATAGGAAAGATTTCATACTGTATATTTCAATTTCTGATCTGCAAGGTCTCAAACAGCTAACAGAATGTTCTTTATCTGAAATCAAATTAATACTGTAAATTACTTTGTGAATTTTACAAATACAAGAGATACAGAGATTTCACCCAAAAATTGTAGATTTACTTACTATTTACTGTGGTTTTACACCGTTATAAGTTTCTCTCTTCTTTTGAATACAAAGTAAGTTATTTTAAATAAAGCTGAATGCCTGTAAAGATGATCATAGAAAAAAAATACTATGAAAGTCAATGGGTTTCAGATTTCTTCAAAATATCTTTCTTTGTGGTTTGGAGGAAGTGAAGCATGAGGAAATGATGACAGTTCAGTTTTCAGTTTTGAGTAAACTATCCCTTTAAAGGAACGATCGATGCAGTAACCTTTTGTTTATTGTGAATTGTTGCTATTGAATGCTAATAATTACTAGATAACCACAGAGCGAATGCAGAAATGGAGATGTAAAGTTATGCATTTTAATATCAATCAATATGATCACAGAAAGCCTTGAAGAAAACATTATAAATGATCTCATCACTTTACACTCAAGCCACAACTATGTTGTAACTTAATGCCCATTCTTTAGAGGATGAACAAATAGTCTCCGGGTAAACAAAGAATAAACCCTGCTTCGAATCTCTTTAGTTTTCAACGAGTAGATGACAGGATTCACGCAGGGCGGGAGAAGGGATGACAAAGACAAACACACCAAACCTACATTGGGGCTCCAAATAATTCCAAAAAATGTGAGATTGAAGATAATCACAATAGGAACGAAGTATAAGCACACTAATACAAGGTGCTCTGTGCATGTGGCCAGTGCCTTGAAACGGCTTTGGCTGCTTTTCATTCTAAACACAGCTCTCAGTATCCCTATATAAGTAAAGAAAATAAAAATTGAAGCTACCCCTATAAAAAGTATAGTTGCTGCGGTGGCATAGTTCAACTGTTGTGTTATGTCACTGCAAGCAAGCACTAAAACCGGAGTATAATCACAAAAATAGCTGTTCATCTCATTAGAGCCACAAAAGGATAGTGTAAGGATGGAAAAAACAGCATAGAGTAAAGTAACAACACAAAAGAACCAAACTGCACTGATTATATAAGCCATTCTGCTGTTTGTATTTATAGATTCGTGTCTTAAAGGGAAACAGATCGCAATGAACCGGTCATAAGAGAGAATACACAGGGAAAACGACTCTAGGCATGTACAAGTATAGTAAATGTACATTTGCAAAAGGCAGAGATTGAAAGGCACAAAATTATCCAGAGCAATGTAAGTCTTTATCATGCCTGGCACCAGAGCAGTGCTGAGAATAAGATCAACCGCAGCCAGATTACCAACAGCCATGAACTTTGGCACATGCAGACGCTGATCATAGACAATGATGGAGATCAGAAAGACATTGCATATGACTGTGATCACAAACAGCACGGTGAGGAACATGACATAGACATTACTGTAAGGCATTGAACGCAAGCCAACGATGTAAAATCCGGCAGGCTGAATGAGGGTGCTGTTTGAAGAAGCGATGTTGTTCTGCATTGTAGCCGTTTTTTTGCGACCTGGCTTTTTTAAAGTGTGTTTTGCTTTCAGTGGATGGGAAACCAGATACCTGTGAGAAAAGCAAAGCAATGCGAAACAAAAAGCCTGTGGTTTACAAATACCTGTTATTTGTTCAGCTTTAAACAACATTCAATGAGAAATCTAATGATTATATATTTAGCATTTTACACTTTTACTACACCGAGCCGGTCTAGTGATACTTACATGAGAAGTAGTTGTGGTGGTTTGTAGATGATTCTGAAGCTTCTGCTTCACAGCAGAAGATCTAGAGAATATTTTCAGGCAATGGGCTATATTGTAAAGGTTTTTTCCTCCAGAGGGGTCATTAAATGGGAAAGAAGCTCCGGTTAACAGTCTTGAGAGAAAAGACATTCATTAGTGTTTTTACTTCACAAATGTGATCTTATTGATGGTATTACTAATTGGTTTAAGTGTCACTAATTAGTTTGCTTGTTTTTGAGCTCATTTTTGTAACAACAATAAAATTGGATTAAATTGTTATCTCTTTAATGACCTCAAGAGGCAATTTGGTTCTCAGCAATTGTCCCCTTGCTAAACCAGGGGTTTTCAAACTGTGACATTGAGAAGTGCACTCGAGTAAATTATGATGACGATTCTTATGCGTTCACTAGAGGGAATAATATGATTAACGTTAGCTCTACAGCTAACTATCAGGCACCTGCAGAGTTAATGCATTCCAGTAAAATATATACAAATAAAACAGAGCGGGTGATTTTTAAAACTAATGGCGGTGAATGAATGAAAGTAAAACTGGTGAGCGTCTCAAAAAAAAGTGCCCCTCTGAATCAAATCAGCAGGATGCCCTTCTGGATCTTTCACTTCCTTTGAAGACTACTGACAACGTCATGGACATCAGTAATAGTTATCTGCCTTAATCTGAATAAGACAATAATATAATTACGTGAAGTGCTTTTTGAATGTTGCGTCACCAGACTATTCAAGTTTCCTGCAGAGTCTCATCTGGGTTGGGTGTTTCATCTTATATTTGTTGACTTTAACTGCAGTTCGACAGTTTAACTTTCACTTATGAACATTTCATTCATGCCCCCGTGACAAACTGAGGTGTTAGACGTGAATTATTGATACCGTACGTCGAATGGAAAGAAAAAAACTTCCGCATTTCGTGATGTGTGTGTGTGGTCCTTTACTGACAGACGTGTGTGTGGATCTTTTCACAAAATGCGGTGAAAAGTCCTACATGACAGTAATAGACTGATTGCGGTGTTTACTTCAATAATGCCACTAATATCTGCATACTCCACGTCTTAATTCCATTTCTGTTTAGTTCAGTTATGTATTAATCAGATGAAAGTAATCAAAAATCGCTGTTTACATGGTGACTCTTAACTAGAGTTTTGTCTTAATCCTATTGAAATCGTATTGTTGCCAATGTAAACATACTCAATGTACGACTCAACCACACCGTCAGGGCTTTGCGAACTTGGCTTTGCGAAGCAGCATTTTCTGTATGTACGTACATCAAGAGCAAGTATGCTATGGCTCACACTTATTGACAGTGGAAGATGATTTACGGTTAGTCGTGTCAGGAATCCGACCACAGATTAGCATGTTGTCCTCACAGAAACTGGCTCAGCCATCACACTGAATCAGGTAAGGTTTTTGTTTCAATGTAATAAATTCTTTAAATGCACTTTAAATGCAGCAAGTACTATGTGAATGATGTTTGAGTGTGCATTATAATTTTGGCTCGAGGGAGGGGTGCCGGAGGTGGGGGGTGTGAGTGAAATTGGAGAAACTTGTTGGGGCGTGTGTCCTAAAAATGTGAAAACCCCTGCGCTAAGCCACACCCGAAAACCGCCACACACCAATCATGGCTTAGCAACCCAAGCTACGCGCAGGAGGCCTGTCAATCTTTCAAGCAAGGGAAACAAACTAAAGCATATGGATTGTGCAAATCTATCATAAAAGATTAGACAGGGTGGTAGATTTTTTTTTCATTTCCAAAACCTTAAACCCAAAGGGAGAAATGCCACCGTGGATCAAGCTCTCCGAGGGGCGCTAACGGAGGGTAGTTAAGTTGGTTTTGTTTTCGATATTCCTGACACATTCAGTAATAGACTGCAATAACCCACACACCTCTTAAAAGATTTAATTTTATACAAGAATACGAAGCCGGTAATGTTTTCCAGCTGTCTGTTTCAATTTTTTTTGCTTGATATTATATATATTATGAGCACTGCTTTGTTAAAGCCCTCGCCATAGTAGTCATATAATAGCAATCATTTTTCCATCTGTTTCAAGCTACAGATATTTAATATTACAAATCAACAGAACAAAACCAAGATGTATTCGCAATCTAAACATTGCGATCAATATACTTCACTCGCAGCTGTTTTTCAGTCATTTCTATCCCTCACGGCCATGTCAGAGCTACAATTCACAGATGTTAAAAACATAACAAAGGAAATATATTCAAAATATATCCATAATATATTTAAGCAATATACAGTGCATACAAGGAATAACGTTGACTTCATTTTCCTTTTTATTGACGGTTGATATACAAATTTGGAGTTATTTTCTGCCACCTACTGGTCAGGAGTGTGGGTCAAAAGTGACATATTTACCCATGTAAGGCTGCTTTTAAATTCTATTTCATATACCAATCTCCTTAAAACATCATTAACGAAGTAGTGGATTATATCTCCTAATTCACTTAAAATATTATTCCAATCTACGTCTTCATTGTTGGTTTTGAGTTCTGTAATCATCAGGGCTTAATTTGTGCCGGAACACGCCGGATCCGTGAAATCTGATGCGGCACTGGCACTGATCCACCGCCTCACAGCCCTCCTCCCCCGTCCACTGTTAACTTTCACTTTGATCCGCGACTCCCCAACTCTCTTCACTTTTGTCCGCGACAACCAACCCCCACCCTGGCTCGTAACTTCCATCCGCGACACCCCTTCGCTATCCAACGCCCCGCTATCCCCCACGCCCCCCAGTCAATCTCGCTATCCCCCACGCCCCCCAGTCAATCTAGTGTGTGCCTGTGTGTTTTGAGGGAGCCTATATTAAATAATGAACATAACAAAAACTAAATAAAAATACTGTTAATTAACAAAACAAAGTTTAATAATAAACACAATGTGTCAGAGACCCTTCAAAAATGTTTAACTCAACAATGAAACATCAAACATAGATTAAAGATTGTGTATAGTCGATCAAATGAGCTTAAACGATTAAAAAATGCAACAAATATTTGTTTGGGCCGGAACTACAAAACTAAGTAAAGTTTATCTATAAACTCCTTTCGAGAGGATCACGTGCTTGTGATTGCTTGCGGCTGGTCCCGCACTATTCAATTTGTAATTTACCACTCAGACGATTCCTAAGCCACTATAAATAACCAGAGTTTCATAAAACAGCCATCTTCATTTTGAAAAATCCTCCTTCCACTCCTACTCCTTTCCTAGATGGGTGGCACGGTGGCCCAATGGTTAGCACTGTTGCCTTACAGCAAGAACGTCACTAGTTCTAGTCCTTATGCCAGCCAACATTTCTATGGAGTTTACACGTTCTCCCCGTGCTCACGTGGGTTCCCTCCGGGTTCCCGTTTCCTCCCACTGCCAAAAACATGCAATTTAAGTTAATTGACTAATCCAAATCAACACCATAGACATGCTCCTAATAAATAGTTATCTCTTAAGAACAATCACTATCTGTTCACCAGCTACTACATCAGGAAAGTTCTCGAGATCTACCTGAGGTCAAACTCCCCTCTCACCTTGCAAACGGGAGGGAGCCCCGAGCTCTAGGATTTTATGAGCTCAGGGCTCTCTCCCGGGACAGCATGCCAATCAAGCTTTATAATCAATCATTAGCTAAGTGTGAACTTTTGAAAAGTAAATACATGCTACGAAACACTAATATGGTGGAGCTTACTATCAACTTCGATATCAATGGCCCTGGGAATAAGTAAGGGTAAGTAAATATTTTATTTAAAGTTCCTGCGTCTTGTATGGTCAGGAAAACGCATCCCTACAATATTTGTAAAGGCATTTTCATCTTCCTTATTGTTTATTTTTTTATCCTTCTTCATAAGTAACATTTAAATGTTTCAGAAATATAGAGCTTTGAATTGTTAGTATTCCCTATAGCTAAAATGAAATTGGGAACATTCATGAACATGACAGAGGTCCTAAATGAAATAATAAAAAAAAAATACAGATCCCTTTTCTATTGGAATTATGAGATTCCAAAACATTATCTAAATCAATAATATTCAAAAGCACAAACAAGTTAGAATACATATTTTAAATATTTGTTTTACAACAAATTAGTGCGGACACAAGTTATTTTTTCATACTTTAGATTGAGTAAATTTTTTCTTGTTCAATCAATGCGTAAAAAGCAATGCTTGATTTAAGGTATGGATATAGTGAGTAATTAAACACATTATTGTGGGAACCATTTCAATTTCCTTTGATTTAGACAGAAAGCAGCGCCTGTAAAGTTTCTCTTTAGTGATCAGTGTGGCTGAAATAACATGGTCGTGTTTACTGTTGTAATTAAGACCCCATAATTGAAAACTGTTGCGTCAGCAAATCTTGAGACAGAAACAAATCATGTCTGGTGTGTGTAAATTATTTTTAGCCGCCCTAATGAGCCCCAGGCTGCTCTCATCTCACAAGGGTAAGTGATAATGACCTTAGCAGAGACACAACATAAACACAACAATGATCATCTCAGAGTGAGATAATTGATCTCCCCAAACTCAGAGATGTCTCAACACTCTCAGGACTAACATGAAAACAGTTCCTTTTCATTTGATGCATCTGCAATTAAGAGGTCATCTGAGGTCATCCTAGATTTAGCATATTTGTTCAATATAAATGATCAGTTTATATTAAGTAAGTAAAAATATGTCCATATTGCATGGAGTCAATCTAGGGCCATATATACTTATGCTAACATAAAAGTTTCGCAAACAAAATAAAGTATTGAGCAAAACATTTGTAAAATAATGCAAATTAAAACAAAATAAAATAAAAAATATATAACAATCAGGACACTTAAGTTTTGAGAAATAAAAATGAATTTTTTACACAAAAATAAAGAACTTCAAATAAAAATAAAGTAGTGCAAAAAAAAAAAAAATTGCAACTTTTATTAAACATATAAAACATTTACATATAAAATTTGCTAAATATTTTTTTCCAGTACTGCCTTTACAAAACCTCTCGAGTCATTTGCATTGCTCATTTTGATTTGTTTTTCAGTTAACCTTGA